GGACCTTTCATGGTAATATTAAGCGATATTCACCAAACGTGAATGTTATTATTGTATATTTAGTGGAGTAGAAGCATATGAAACATTAAGTCAAATTTTCAAAGATTCAAATTGGGGTGTAAGTGAATATAAAAACCAACAACAAACCTGGGTAGTTTTAGTATCTCAAGATACGAATCAAATACAACCAAAAATGGTTATTCAATGGAGACGTAAGAAAATTAAAGATGAGATAAACCATGTTTCAGAAGCAGGTTACATATTTTTAAGTTTTATGATAGATCAAATTTATTATTGATGTAATTAATATTAAATATTATGTTGTAAATTTATTGGCAATTAAATTCATTGACAATGTTATATTTCAAAATCAAATTTTTATTGACTCTGAATCTATATAAGTTGAAGTGAATTTTGAATGATAAGAGATTCAGTTTTGAATCTAAATATGGTCAAATTGTTCTTATTTATTGTCTTGTCTTTTGAATCTAAATATGGTTGATTTGTTCTTATTTATTATCTTGTTTTTTTGATTTAAATTATTTTAGTCAATTTAATTGATTTTATTTCTTAATATTATCAAAGATCATTATTAACTTGGCTTATATTATATTCTAGACTGCTTAATGATGACGAATATAAAAATATCTTACGTGGGATTAAACAGAAATGTGTTTATAACTTGCAAGATGAATAAATTTGAACTAATTGCACTTGAAGAACATGCAGTTAGAGAGAATTATCTGTAAGGTAATATCTAATTCGGCTTTAATCCTACTGTGTCAAAGAGGTCTTAAAGTTCAAATGTAGAACATCCTCTCCTATTTTCTATGATTCCATTAATACATTGAATCGTAGATGAACTTCATGTTCTGTTACGAATTACTGACCAATTATAGTCACTTTTAATAATTGAAACACAAGCACAAACAAATACAAAAATTTGAATTGCAATTATTCAAGAAATAAAACAAATAAAGGTTAATTTTCATTGATAGCAAAACCAAGAAAATAAA